AGGCCAAAGAAAACCTTACTATAGTTAGGGTAAAGACTATGTACTGAAACGGGTTATAAATAAAAACCTCGTGTTTATTATTTTTACTTTTTTAAATCTGTTACAAGAAAAACAGTTACGAGAAAGTTATAGATGTAATTCAAATACATGTAAAGTGTTATTCAAAACTAGACAAGGTTCAAATTAAAACTTGTCAAAGTTATTTCAAAGAAACATGTGTGTTCCTATTTCTTTTATCGTATGTTAAACACCATTATGAATTTGAGACGGCTTCTTCATTAAATGTCGAATATAAAAGGGCCCTCTTTTATAAAACTTATGTTTAAATTAATTAGTCATAAGTTTAACAGAAGCATTTTTGAAGAATAAAAATGCAAATTATTCTGTAAGTCCTTAGAAATAAAGGCAAGAATAAAGTAAACAGAAGTTCAAGATAATAACAAGAAAACTTCTTAATATTTTAAAAAAAAACTTAAGACTAAGTACGTACTTAGTTGTAAAGCTACGAATTATTTATACAAAATTGCCCCATGCAAAAGGTCTGGGGACTTGCATTTCCAAAATAAACCCTCAAATGAAACCAAGGGTTTGATCACAATTTTCCAAATAAAACAAAAACAAAGATATTCAAACAACTAAAGCTGGTCACTGAGAAGTTGAAGGTACTGAAGCAGGAGTATCAATAGTTGCGGGATCAACTTGACTTGCAGCAACAGGCTCGACTGGGCTTGAAATAGTTGGGACCCGTATCGACTTCAACATTCACGGAAGCTTCGGCCACGGGAGAAGGAAAATCTTGAGTTTGCTGGCTTTCTCAATAGTTTCATTGATATTAGCCAACTCAGATTCCAAGTTGAAATTTTCTTGGCCAGCTTCAATTAGGGTATCACGGCGTGAATTCAAAAATGCCCAACTTACTTCAATAGCAGATTTATATTCAAGGATCTCATAATCCCTTTCCTAGTCAGCTATCTCGTTCTTTAACTTCTCATTTTCAGCCAAGGCAGATGTGTAAGAAGTCTGGAGAGAGGAATGGGAGCTTTCTAAAGAACGCACCTTATCAGAAGAAGCTCGAAGGTCTTCTTGTGCCTGAGTCAAATTTTGTACGAGCTCCCTAGCGTAAGCTTCTTTTTTACTCAAAAGAGCCTTCAACTCTCTGATTTCTTCACTAGCCTTGGACAGCTGCTCTGAGAAGGAAGTTTCAAGGCGAGTTCTTTCTTTATCGGCTTGGCTTGAGGAAGCCTTTTCAACCGCCAACTCTGAAGTCAAAGCCCATACCTGCTGCTCCAAGGTACTCTTACTCTCTTGTAAATACTCCACATCAATTTTCAAGCTTTCAAACTGTTCCCTCCAATTGCACGCCTCTAACTGAGAATCACACACTAATTGATCTGAGTGGGCAACTCTTTTCATCATCTCTGTGCCGATAAGGTTGGCCTAAAAAAGGGAAAAGGAAATAAGAATCCTCAAAGATAGAAAAAGAAAAAAGAGAAGGGGAATACCTTCAAAGTGGTGTGCACAATATCGTTCATCAGGGTCAAGGAGCTATGGCTCTCTAGCTTAGCTTTCTCAATTGGGCCAATTAAAGGCTCTAGCCATACATCCGCTTGACCTGATTTCCTTAAGAGACTGCCCTCAGCAGGGACTTCAATGACTACTCGCCTCATAGCAACACTCCTACTTGAGGAACCAACTTCAGTGCGATGAATGTATGGAGGAGGAATTGTCGAAGGAGGAACAGAAGAGGTGGAAAAAATAGTCTGGGAAGGAACAGAAACAATCGAGACTGGCAAAGAATGAGTTACAGACACGGGTGTCGAAAAAGAAGCCAAGGGTACTTCATCTAAAATAGGGCCTAAACCTTCACTACCAAACCCGCTAATAAAAAGCTGCTCAACAGAGTCATGAGCAGCAGCGGGAGAAACGTCATTATCAAGAATCAGTACCGGAGTCTCAGCAGACTCGGTAAGAGGAACAGAACGACGGGGGGATACCTCTGCTTCATCATCAGAAATGATGCGTCTTCGAGCTCGTGGACTTGTCACCAAAGAGCCCCCGTCTTCCTCCTCTTCAGAGTTTTGTTCCTCAACGACAACAACTTTTCTTATTGTAGAAGAACCCAAGATTATTTCTTGAGCCCTTTCCAAAGAGATGCGGGAAGCCGCAACTGCCTCGGCAGTGATTCCACGAATAGCAAATCCTGATAAAAAGATGGATTGAAATTAGTGCAATAAAAAAATACACGAAAAGATGAAATAAAATAAAAGCTCTTACCATGAATTTTTACTTTCCAACCAAAACGGTTAGAAAGTGTCTTCCAAGACCTACCATCCATTGGTGTGGTCCTCAATAATTTGTCTACCCAATCACAAAAATTGGGAACGTCTTCTACAACTCCCATGGTTGCTAAAAAAAAGCAAAATTAGAAAAGTTGACAAACTTGAAGAAAAAAGGTACGAGAAAGTTAAAAAGTCTTACGTGCAAAATTCCACTTCTCAGGGAAGGGAACATTATCATCACCCACTAAACAACAGTGGGGGTAGCAACAAACCTAGCATATCAGCCACGGTCTTTGTCATCCTCAGGGCTCACCAAAACTCTCTTGCTCCTGGCTACTAGTGTGAAAACACCATTGCGGAAGAGTCTAGGGGAGTAAAGGTGATTTAAATGAGGGAAAGTAAAGGGAACACCGACTGTGTTGGTCAAATGCCTCAAACAGGAAACAACCCTCCATATGATTGGGCCAATTTGACCCAAACAAACATCGAAGAAATGACAGAACTCAAGAATAACTGGGTCAATAGATGGTCTAAACCCTAAAGTGAAAGGGTATGTATAAACAAAAGCAAACCCAGTTATGTAAGAGGTGATTCTTTAATTTGGACTAGGGATAATAATAGGAAAATCACTACTCCAACGACAGTCTCTACGAACTACAGAAATCAAACCTTCTGTAATTTGAGTGGGATAAATATCAGCACGATCTAAACCAGAGACTTGGTTCCTAAGAGATTCTCTGTCATGATAAAAAGATAGTTCCATAGGAACTATCTCCTCTGCTGTAGGCTCACGGAGAGGTTCAGAAGGTTCCTTATCTCTTGAAGAAGATTTTTATGAAAGTGAACCCCTAGTTCTAGAAGAAGGGCCAGAACTAGGTAAAGGAGTGGAAGAACTGTGAACAGAACCTAAATTACGAAGCCTACCTCCCCTTCTGCTTCTAATGGAGACATTTTGGAAGGTATCAACTATAGGAACCTTTCTAGGGTTAGAATTTGAAGAAGACATGATGAAGAAGGATGATACGATGAAGAAGCAAACAGGGATTTGAGAGATTGAATATTCAGTAAATTTTATGTGGAAAAGACAAAGAAAGAAGTTATATTTATATTGATAAGCGATCGCCGAAGGAAAAAGTGCAATGATGAAAGTACCATAATAATGATAACTGACGCTTCGTGAATTGTGGAGCCATGAAAAAGCCTTTAAAAGGGCTACAAAATTGCAGAACTAATAAAAAGGTGACACGTGTGAAGAGCATTAAATAGAAGTGACAATTAAAGTGTCAATTTTGTCATAGTATTAATGCCGACAAAAATTCTCATTTAAATGAAATTCACTTCCCAAATATTCAATTGATGAATAAATGGCAAATGGGGGGACTATCTGTATTGGGAAAAATTGAGTTTACATATTAAAGTGGAATAAAGATGACGTGTCAAGACACGTAGACTAGTCAAAGAGTTACAGCTGGCAAAGAGACACGAGTTGCAACAGATACGAGCAAAGGCAAAGGAAGAGGCACAGACAGATATTCAAAGGACTCGGCGCCCGTATCTATTTAAGTCATTTAGGTCCAGGAATCAAGGGGAATGAATCTGATAATATATGATAGTACAGATACAGTATTTAGTGAGCATTAAATACTGAATACGTTAGAAAATCTGTATTAAATACAATGATTGTGTAACGTAGCATTCAATGTTTTTAATTACTCATAATAGCCTTATTATGACAAGGGCAAAACACATATCTCCCAAATAGCTATAAAAGGGAGATACCTGATCAATTGTATGGACACGAAATACTATCTGAATATATTGATTTACTTGTTTTTCTTCTGATTATATTGTTGCTAGCCAAATTACTTTCTTTCATAAATTCTTTTGATTATCAGTAACCCGAGTTCTTCTAAATTAAAGTTTTGACCGAAATTCCATTTTTTGGTTAAACACTATAAGTGTTCATGGTTCAGTTTGTATCGGGTTTTCCCTAAAAAACCAAACCAAGTAAGTCGATTTTTCAAATATTAGAACCAAACCAAACCAATTAAGTCGTTTTTTTCTCGATTCAATTTATGTTGGTTTTTTGATTTTTTCGGTTATTTGTCGATTTTTTTTCTTAAATATAAGACATACACTACCAAACACATATTTCGGTGATCACATTTTTAACGTAACACTATCAAATCAATTGCCCTTTGAGAAATTTATTATTTACCAAGATATATCGATGGTAATTGAATTAAATAGTGATGAATAATTTAAGGACTCAATTAAAAATATAATATTTTAACATGAAATAGATTCTTACACTTAACAAAAAAAACTACCAATCAAACTAGTATTTTTAACATGAAATAGATTCTTACACTTAACAAAAGAAAACTACCAATCAAACTAGAATGTAAAGGTAAAGAACTGTACTAAAAGTGCAAACGATTAACATTTAAAATAGCTACTCCTATATTCGGTTTGGTTCGGTTTTGTTTTGATTAAAACCAAAACCAAACCAAAAAGTATCGATTTTTTTGGTCGGTTTGGTTTGGTTTTCGGTTTGGTTTGGTTCGATTTTTCGGATTTTTATGAACATCCCTGATCTATACATCCACTTAATTACCTCCGTATCTATACATTTCACATAAACTTGCTTTTTACCCCCTTGAAAGAAAATTAACTACACATTCTCCTCCTAAATTCTGAATTACCTACTCACACCCCTCCTCTAGAAAAAATTTCTTAAAAATTTGACAAGTCAATCCTAGGTCCTCTATTTGCTCAACCTCGAGTCCTTATAATTGTGATTGTCCCTCTCCCTTGGGTATGAATTTTAGTGAGTGCCACCACAGTCTTGCCGGACAACCCCGGTCCGGTCGGAGATACTGTTGGCCGACAGGCGAAATCTCCGACCGGATGCCTTACTGGTCGGGTCGGCCTCATCAGAATTCTCTCGTTGATGTCGTTTAACGTCACGTCCCCTTCCTGTCCTCCTGGCTTCACTACGCCAAATGGATACACCACTTTTGCTGTCATCCTTTTCTTTGATCTCTTTTGATCACTTCCTCCTTCAAATAATTAAGAAAATAACTTATTAGACTATGGTAACCTAACAACTTTATAATTTGAAAAAAAATTATACTCCGTAATTAATGGCGCTACAGTTACGAATATAATTCAAATACCAAAATTATAAATTAGTTAATGTTGGACTATGGTCAATGGCTTTTGGTAACGTAAGGCTATAAAAAATGTGAAACCAGTACAGATCACGAGACTGCATAGATATAACTTTGAGGAACGCCATACTTGTACTATTTTTTCCTCAATTTTTGGGCTATCTTACACAGAAACAACGGCAACAGAATACATAGTTTGAAAAAAAAACAGAACAGCTAGTGCAAATCTGTTATCCTTTGTTGAGGTAGAGGGGGATTTAAAATTGGTTAGTGAAAATTTGATAATAAACAAATTAATAAAGTTCAAATTTTGAAATTGGCCAACGGTATGTCATGTTGTTCAACATTTCTTGAAAACCGATAGCAAAAGTAATCGATATGCATGACCCTGCCGTCATAAAAATAAAAGTTGCAGTCCACAAAATAAAGAGAAAGAAAAACAGCCACACAAACAAAAGGCGAATTTAAGGCGTAGAGTCGGTGAGTCCAGAATGATTGAGCTTGCTCTTATTAGACATACATTTTAAACTTTTTTTTGTATATATATATAATTTGAGACGAAAGTAATTAATTTAATTCAACCAACACGACACCGCCTAAATTACGTAAAGCCCCCAAGAGGAGGATTAGAAGTAGAGAGAGAGAGAGTTACCAGTAGGAAAACTTGGGTGCATGGTATATTGTGGTAGGGCTTCTTTATCAGAATTGGAGTGTTGAGTGTTGACTTTTTGATGATGAGATGATGCTGAAGAATAATAGTTAGTTTCATGAGAAGCTGAGATGGCTTCCTCCTCTGTTCTTTTCACATCTGTTGTAATATTGGAATATTCCTCACTCATTTTGCTCATAGGAGGATCCCCTGTCATTAATAACACCATGCACACAATAAATCATTATCAATTTTATTGCTTCCCTTATCATAACAGAAATCTCGTCTTTTAATTTCAATTTAATATGTAAATTATAACGGCTGTTACTAATCATTACCCAATAGTAATAACTGCATTTTATTGAATTATATGGAAAATTGCTTCAGCCTTTTAAAACAATTGAATTCAATTCCATTTCTATAGTGAGAAGAAAAAGGGAAGAATTGAAATTACCCGAAAAGCTATCACACTTAGTTATCTGGCTAAAGGAATCATAATCCTCAGAAAATTGTTGGTCCATGTTGGAACTCCACAAATTCTGCACATAAATAAGAAAACATTGAACTGCAATGTTTCCAAGTAAAAATTAAAGATTCAGACAATGTAATTCTCCAATATACCTTTATGGAATTGTTTGAATCTTTAGTTTGATAATTCTCATTATCATCAAACAATAACAAACGTCTTCTTTTAGAACTGAATTTGAATAAAGCATCTTGAAGATAGCCACTGGAGAAGTCAGAATCAAGATTGGACAGAAATGGTGGAGTGTTTTCCATAACTATATATACCAACAAAAACAGTAACATTTGTAGGTTAATATAAGAAAATGAGAAGAAGAAGAAATTAAAGAGTGAAAAGTAATTAAGTAGAGTTTTTACATGGAGTGTTGAAAACTTGAAGGTCATGGAAATCCCAACCTCCTAGGGAAGAGCAGCTAGTGTTGCTGTAAGCAATGGAGTGAAGGTCACCCATTTTACTTACCTTTGATAATTTTTTTGTGATGGAGAAGTGTAGTATTACCCCCAATGTGTCATCCTAGCTACTATATTTAAGTAGAGACAAAATATATGGCCCACCAAAATAAAGCAAGGTGAAAAACGAAAAAAAAATATTTGCTGGAATTCTTAAATGGGGAATCTAAAGTTTCAAAACAAGATTTTGGGCTTACGTTTTTCAAAACTTGTCACAACAACAACAATACATAGAATTTCTCAAATCCAGTATTTTAAAAGGCAACCCCCAAGGCGAGCCCGGGGCGAGGTGTACCAAAAATGCCTTACGCGATGGTGTGGGGCGAAAGTCTCAAGAGGCGTGCGCCCAACAATTTAGGGGGTACGCCCGGAAGTTTGAGATACGTTTTTATAGTGAGCGTAAGCTTCAAAGAGTTTTTCCAAATTAAAACAAAATGTGTTGAATAAGTTCTTCTTGTAATACCCAAATTTTCAAAAGTCAGCTTGTAATTACTCAAAACTTTTAAAAAGGAACTGAAATGTATTAAATTTAAAAGTCAAGACTTTTTTTTATTGATTGAAGTCCAAGCATCCTTAGAGATGCTTGGAGACAAAAAGTGTGTCGGTTCCCTATATTATAGCGATTAAGGACATATATGATGTGGCTAAGACTCGGGTTAGGATAGTAGGATGCGACTCTATGCATTTTCCGGTTGTAATGGGGTTACACCAAGATTTTTCGCTCAGTCTGTTCTTATTCGCCCTAGTGATGGATGCGTTAACACAGTATATTCAAGGGGAGGTGACATGGTGCATCTTATTCGCCGATGACATGGTTCTGATTGATGAGTCGCGAGCCGGTATTAACGAAAGGTTGGAGGTTTGGAGACAAGCTTTTAAGTCTAAGGGCTTCAAGCTGAGCAGGACGAAGACGAAATCCCTGGAGTGAAAGTTCAGCGCTGAGCCGAGGGAAGTGGGCGTGGATGTGAGGCTTGAATCATAGGTCATCCCAAGTAGAGGCAGCTTCAAGTACCTTGGGTCGGTTATCCAGGGAGAAAGGGAGGTCGACGAGGATGTCATACACCTATTAGGGTAGGATGGATGAAATGGAGTTTAGCATATGGATTCATGTGTGACAAGAGAGTGTCACTGAAACTCAAAGGTCAGTTCTATAAAGCGGTGGTTAGATCGGCGATGATGTATGAGGCTGAGTGTTGGCCTATTAAGAACTCACATATCCAGAAGATAAAAGTAGCAGAAATGAGGATGTTGAGGTGGATGTGCGGGCACACTAGGGTGTATAAGATTAGGAATGATGTTATTCGGGAGAAGGTGCATGTGGCTCCCATTGATGACAAGATGCGGGAAGCGAGGCTCAGATGTTTCGGGCATGTTCAGAGGAGAAGCCCAGATGCTCTGGTAAGGAGGTGTGAGCGGCTAGTTGTGGAGGGCACGAGAAGAGATAGAGGATGACCTAAGAAGTATTTGGGAGCGGTGATCAGGTAGGATATGGCGAGGTTTCAGATTTCAAAGGACATGACACTTGATAGGAAGATGTGGAGGTCGAGTATTAGGGTTGTAGGTTAGGAAGTAGTTGAGTCTTGCCTTACTTTGTACCTTTATGAGACTAGTCTGGTAGGGTTTTTGTCTAAGATAGCTAGTGGCAATGTTGTGTCGTACTATTTCGCTTTTCAGTGCAGCACATATTTACTATCTATCGCTTTTGCTTTGCATCTTTCTTCTGAATTTCATGTTGTTCCTATTTTTCCTATGATTTCTGTGGTGATACTAATATTGTCTCCTTTTATCTGAGCCGAGGGTCTTTTCGGAAACAGTCTCTCTACTCCTTCGGGGTAGGGGTAAGGTCTGCGTACACACTATCCTCCCTAGACCCCACTAGTGAGGTTTGACTGGGTTGTTGTTGTTGTCCTATTTCTTTATCTTGTCTGCTAATATCTCCCAAAAACAACGAATATTCAATTTTTTCATTTAAAAATTCAAAGAGAACTCAATTCTCCTGCATAGCAACAAGTTCAAAGTTCAAATTGAAGGTTAATCATTATTTTTGTTCCTCCATGTAAAAAAATTATTATTTTCGACTCATGTTACATGTGCTTGTAGGTAGCGTATAATATATATTTTTTTTACTAGTTTTTTAATGGGGATGGAGCACATATAAAGTGTGTGTGTATGTATATATAGAGAGAGAGAGAAAGAGTTTTCTTCAATTTTTATGCAATTTTACCTTTTTATAAATATTTACCATAATTATATTATTTTATAAAATATTAAAAATTAAATACCCATGGGGCTTACGCCCCGTGCCTCGGAACTTACGCCTCGCTGAGGCATATGTAAAACGTCTCGTCTTACGCTCACACTTTTTAAAATACTTTTGAAATCTAAGACAAGATACTTATTAGATTGGGTTTACACTTATTCCATCTAATAGAACGATTTCGTCGTATTCATATTAATATCAAACCAAGCCATTTCATGAATAAAATGTGACCAATTGATCAACGAACAGATAAGTTATTATAAATAAGATTTTATTGTTGCATCAAAAGAGATAAATATTGACTAATCCGGTAGACATTGAAATTTGATAAAATTAAATTGTTGAATATTTAAAAAATGAGATTATTTAGGAATACACATTGAATATTGAGATAACGTATTAAATTTTAATAGTAAATCCATAATAATAAAAAAAATTATTTGTGATTATTCCACAAGAACTGAAAATATCTTAACCAACATGAATCGGGATCAGCTGTATGATATTTTCAAAACTTGTGATATGAAGAAAAATTATTACTTTATAAGGGATGAATAGTTGAATACTCAGATACTCTTGTCGAAATATAGGAATTATTTTGTATGAACTTTATTATTCCTTATTCTAGACATTTGAAAAAATTCCCCGAAATTTGTCTCCAGTGTTTTAATTGTCCTCTAAATAATATAGGCTTGGGAATTCATCTTAAAATCATAGAGGTCAGTACCATAGCAGATTGTTAATTAGTCCGCAAAATTAGCCTCCATGTTACATTAGGAGTAGGGGTGTCAATGGTTCGGTTCGGCCGGTTATTTTATAAAATTTGTATCATACCAATATTTTGGTTATTCTATTATGTATAACCAAAATTAGACTTTTCGAAACCGTCCCAATCATGTCGGTTTCTCTTCGGTATCGGTACGGTTCGGTTAATTTTCGGTATTTTTTTAATATTATATAAAATTCACTAGTAGAAGTAGAATTGCAATAACATACGTTCTTTTATAGAACTTAGCAAAACTCTCTAGACATTTTTAATGTTTAAATGGTGATGAATTAAAAAAAAAAGATGGCTAGAGTATAGATCCATCAACTATTCTACAACAGTGTAAAAGAAATCAAACAAAGGCAAAGAAAATATTAATCACATGAGTTGAAAGATATACCAAGCTGGGACTCAAGAATAAAGTCAATCGAAGATTAAATATTCAAAAAGATAAATCTAAATTATATGAAAGGAAACATATTCAATACATTGTAGTTTGCTACTCATAATCGCTAGAATACTTTGTGTCTTGCTAATAAAGATACTTGAAATAACTTAGTTTAAGTAGAAGTAGCGTAATAGGTTTTAGAAATTAGTATTTTGAGTTTAATTACTTGTTGGCTTGTAATAGTTTTTATAAGTCCAAGGCTCAAGAAAAATTTAATGCATTATTATTTTTAAACTTACTAAATAAATATAATTTCTACATGTAAAATTTATTCGGTACGGTTCAGTATTTTTTCGGTTTATTTTTATAAAATAAAAAACCTACCCTAATTATCGGTGTGGTTATATATTTATATAAAAATCTACGGTTTCTTAAAAAGAAACCTAAAAAATCGGTTCGGTGTGGTACGGTTCGGTCAGTTTAGTCGGTTTTCGAATATCCATTGACACCTCTAATTGGGAGTTTAATCTCTTTTTTTCCTCTCCTCTCTTTATTTATTATTCCCTCCGGTTTACGATAAGTGACCAATTTGTTTTTTTTATTTTGGTTCGACATAAGTGTCTTTTTATATAATCAAGAAAATATTCAATTTATTTTTCCAAAATTACTCTTATGTACGTCCCTAAAAAGTTATTTACTCGTCATATTTGAGAAGAGAAATAAATGCTATTATAACTATGATGCAACATTTAATGAAGGGTAATTTAGTCACACTAACTATTTTCGTCTAGAATTTAATATTTTTTAATGAGTGCCCAATTGTGGATTGAAGGGAGTAGTAAAGTTTATGCTTCATTCAGAAATTCGAAACAAACTTTTTAAAACATTGGGGAATTGAGAGAGGAGTAAAGGAAGGAAGGAAGGAAGAAAAGCAAATAAAGTGATAGTGCGATGATTTTAGAAGTAATCAGTCAACGGGCAGCAAGTAAGGAAAATTCAAAGAAAGAAAAAGGAATAGATTTTGTTTTCTTGGGATTCGTTAAATGGTCACCTTTTAATATTTTTGCATGATTTAATAAGTGAGTGTGGGGGGGACTAAATAATTGCAGTGCTTATGATATCATTTTGCTGGCTACTATTAAGGCAATGCATGAAGTTACCAGACAACAAAAATTCAAATTCAGCTTTTCCCCTTTTTTTGCTTTTCCTTTCTTTTGCTTTTTTTTTCTCTGTTCAAGTTTTCTTTCCTAAAATCCAATGGATAAGAACTGGTGTAATAAATTAATGAATAATGAGTGTCCAAATTCGCTAAGAGAACGGACTATGGTTTACGTATATGATATTTGTTTACCCTTAAAATTGGATAACAATTAAACTTATAAAGTGATTTTAAGGACACGTGATTTCACTTAATATCAATTGATAAATATAAAAATTAGTAATAGAAATTAACAATAAGATAAAACAAACCGGTGTTGGAACGTAATTCCGCCCTCGAACTAGTCGAAACCAAAAAAGTTAAGAAATAAGCAAGTTGATGAACAAGAATATAAGGTGAAGAGAAAGTGTTATATTGCTTTGATATGTGTGTATCCAAATCCAAGTGCCTTACAAACGATTGGA